ATTTCCATATAAAACATATTCACATACAATTAAAATCAGAACAATACTTTGAAAATACACTTTATATAAAACATAATAAAATATTGCATAAAATAAATAAATTGTTTTTGATCAAAAATTTGGGGTTTGGCTTATCGCAAGCTGTCATCATATCTAATATAAAATAAATTAGTTGCACTCACCTTTGCCTCATGTAAGTTCTAAATAAAGTCCTTTTCATTTCGTTAAATCTCGTACTATATCGCTGCGTTCAGTAAGCTTTCAATCAAAATATACACATCAACATATTCAAGATAAATATCGAAACTCGATTAACGAATAACCAATACGCATTTACATAAAAAAATAAACCATCAAATTTAAAATTTCAGACTAAATAGTATCGGTACCCTTCCTACAGTATCGATACTTCTCCTCAATGGTATCGATACCCACTTCAGTATCGATACCATTTTGGCATTCTGGAATTTTATTTCAATTGCAGTATCGATACCTTCCTCTTGGTATGGATACTTCTACATCAGTACCGATACTACTTCAATCAGTATCGATAATGTTCATCCAATTCATACCTTTTTCTTTCAATTTATCCTTATAGTACCAGTACTGTTCTTCCAGTACCGATACCCAAAACCAGATTTTACCTCTTTCACTTCAAAATTTTCCCGCACTTCACCTAAATCTTAAGCTTTTAGTTCCATTCATACCCTCAAACTTATTATCACTTATCCTAGCTAACTTACCTCCATAAATCCCCTTATAACATCTAAATTTCTCCATAAAACACTTAGAACTAAAAAATAACACCAAATGTTCAAACATGTTCTCAATCCTTTCTAACACTTCAACACCTTAATTAGACCCTTGACAAGTCAAATATATCATTATAAATCCACATATTAGTCAATCTCATAAAATCCCTTAAAAACCCATTTTACTAATTCATCCTTAATTCACTAATCTCTTAGTTTCTATTCATCTTAAAGCTTCCTTAAGTTTCTATATCACTCAAGGCTTTAAAACCAACCCAAAAATGAAAGGAATAACCAACTTGAAACATATCTCACCTTACTAACGGAGTCACTAGAAAGAGAAGAAGAAGAAGAAGAAGAAGAAGAAGAAGAAGAAGAAGAAGAAGAAGAAGAAGAAGAAGAAAAGTGAACCAATTTCCATACTTTTCCTTATTTCCCATTATCCAACACATGTTAAATATCTTTAAAGAAATGAATATTAATTTTATTTCCTGCTAAAAGACAATAATGCACCTCCATTTTTCCATCTTTGCTAATAATTAATTTTAGTCACTGAACCGATGTTTGTGGTATTACAGTCTTCTTAGGCTTTGAGTCATTAGATGGGTTAATAATAATTGTGTGATTGCCTCAAGCCTTAGTAGGAGTTTCCGTACCGTCATCCCTCAAGTTCAACTTCTTGGTGTTGCTCGCTGACTCGGTATGTTTAAGCGATTGGATCAGTTGGACAAGAAATGTTGTAAATAAAATTTCAGTATCCGATTTGAGTTCTCACATGGCACACTCAATGGCGTGATCATGACGATTGACATAAGCCAAATAGATATATTTCTTTGCCTCTATTGCCCATTTGCACCATCAAATGACACATAGACTCAGAGGTTAGCAGATTTTGCTCCGGGGCAAGCTTTGTGACGTTAGCATGTTCAACATCCTCGACATGTAATGTCGGCTTGGTTGTTGTGGGTAACCCATCGAACATAACTCATTGGTAAGCCTTCTTCGTCAATCCCGACTTATTTGGAAGCATTTCATCATATGGTAAATCTATGGATTGTACCTCTCAACGCATTTTTGTGATAAGATAAGGGAAAACCAACTTCCTCGTCTTCTTCCTTGCACAATAAAAAATATCCTTGATGATCAAGTTCCCAACATTAATTTTCCGTTTCTGCAAGATAAAATTAATTAATAATAAGCAAAAAAATAGAAACAGTAGTGTTATGAGTGATGAGAAGAATCTTGATTTTGATAAAATGATTCCAATTTCATGCTTCTGGATCAGGTTGCTCGGTTGATGACTCCTTGATTTTCGTTATTCCACTCAATTTATTTGACAATCAAGGCATGACAGATGGATTAAGGGTCTCGGTGATGGCTTTGCTCGCGAATTTGACATGTTTTTCTTTATCGTCATAAATGCCATATAGGATGTTGACAAAATTGGCATCAAGATAGATTGAGCTGCCACAAGTAAAGAAGAAAGAATACTTATCAATATGGGAACAACCATGGTGCAATTCACTTCACTGTGTTATTCACACAACATAAATCACTTGTGAGTCTTGCTGATCTCGAAAATACTTGGCTCTAGATCAAGATTGATAGGACAATTATCATACAAGAATCTTTTCTTTGACAACATGGCTCACTTCGTAAATTTTTTGTTGGATCAGGACTCTACCACTATTGTCAAAAAATGCTTCTAGGGGTGAGGAGTAATGTGCGACATACTAATCTAAGGGTCCTTTCTTAAAGACACCATGAAAGAAGATGAAGGATTGCAAAGAAAACCAAGAAAAAGATAAAGAGAAAAGAAAGATAAACATGGCAAAAGAGATGAATGAGAGTAAAAATAAAAAGGTACGTTTTCACTTAAGGGAGATATGTGAAAGAGAGGAAAGGAAGATGGGATAATAAATGAAAATATTTGGGGAAGATAAAAAGGTGTAATAGCGCATGAAAGGAGAAAATATATAGTTATGATGCGAGTGAAAAGACGGTAAAGATTTTGGGTGCAAAAGTCTCTTGGAGGGGAAAACATCTCCTTTAGATAAATTTGGTTCATGAAATATAAAATTATCAGTGAGAATAAAAGATTACTAAGGAATATGATTACTGGAAATGTTGTATTTTGTGTTTGGTTGGTTTAGCAGGAATGTAAGATTACCGTGTTTGGTTAAATAAATAAAAGATTATTGGAATGTATATTTGACCAAATTGTCCTTATTATATATTTGTATAATATTACAAATTGTAAAATATTTATATTTTCTTTAAAAATTAAATTCATAATATTTATATAATTTTTTTACAAAATTAAAAATATAAAAAAGGTTTAATGAAGGGTAAAAAAAATTTAACCCATGAACTTCGTATAAAATTTTAATTATAGATTTTTTTTTTGTAAATCTAAAATAATTTAAGGATAAATTTGTAATTTAACCTTCGTAGAATTTTTATTATTCAAGGATAGAAAAATGATATTTTTGAAAAAAAATAAAAATTTAAGGGTATTTTAGTCCAAAACGCCGGTAATGTTACAATACCTAAGGGAAGGGAGGTAATGACATTCCCGGTAATATATCCCAAAAAATCTACTATTGGTAATAAAACATTACCGGAAATGAGATTCTCGACCAACCAAACATGGGAATGTGGGATTCAATCCTTGAACCAAACACCCCCTAAGAAAGTTTTGTATGCCCACTCAAAAAGTCAACTTCTTTAGTCATCTATCATATTTTTGTTGTCATATTGTCGCGTTGCACTCGATTAATTCCCTAAAATCATTCAAAATAAATTGAAACGAATTAAAAGAAAACGAGAAAAATTAAATAATAGAAAATATATTTATTTATAATTCCCAAGACATAACAAGCACAATAATTTCTCTTTTCTCTTTTCTTCTTTCTTCATCGTCTTTTGCACGTCTAAGAAAACAATCGACTGCAACTCTCTATTCAAACCACAAAGGATGAATCGTCGACAATCTAGACGTAACACATTAAATACCATTAACATTGTTAAAAGACATATAACCATCGATTGATAGGGATGGTAACAGGTCGGATTAAGGTATATTTGTTTATCATCATAACTCAATCAAAAAATATGCATCATTCACTTGAATCTGACATAAACCAAAAATTTTATATATTCCATCTGACCCGACTCGGCTGGAAATATATAGCCTTCATCCGACTCTAATCTAATCCGATTTTTTAAAATATAAATCTGAAACAACTCGATTCGATATAAAATAAGGACTTAATTAAAAAATAATAAAATTTTTAAAGAAATTATATTATCATCCCCAAATTTAGTCGGGTCATTATTTTTCACCCTTCACTTAAACCCGACCCGATCTTACCCTAAAATGTTCAACCCGACTTGACCCGAACCCGAATATTTTAAAAAAAGAATCTAACCCTATTGAATAAACAAGTCGGATCAAAACCGAAACTTTAATTTCGGATTAAATTACCATCGATTGATTAATTAACGTAACCGCCAAATTCAATTAACAATTAAATATCTATTGTCAACTTTAAGAATTAAATGCGTTTAAAAGGCCATTAAATAGCGGAAACCAAATTGGTGGGAGAAACAAAAGATGGGAACATCTAAATCTAAAATTCCACCATAAACAAAAGCTGCGCTTCACCATAAAATTAATATCTATAATATAATATTTAAAAATTAATATTAAATTTATTTGAAAAATTAATATTAAAATTAAAATCAAATATAATATAATATAAAATTAAATATAAAACCTCTTTGAAAAAATTAGAAGACGTCTACAGACATAAGATCACGTCTGCGCCGCGTAGATGTTATAAGAGCTTTTGTCTTCTAAAAGATAAACGGTCTACGAAACTTAATATTTACGCGTGATCTTCACGACATAGACATAAAAATTTTAAAAATTTTATACAATAAAAATAAACATCACCTTACCGTTTTGCCAACAATTTCTTTGACGAGACGATGTTCCTATTTTCATTTTTAATTTGTGATTTTAAAGTCACTCCCTACTTTTGTTTAAAATGAAATAATCATGACCGGTGGTAGTCCCATGGGGAGCCGTTGGATGTGTTTTTATTCGTTTCCATTGTTTATACATATGGATGTGGGCCCAACCCTATTTTTTCTCCATCATTCATCAACTCCATTGGACCTCATTCCAACTCTGTTCTCTGCTCCTTTGGTTTTTAATAGATAAATAGGAAAAGTAATTCTCGACGAGACAAGGCGACACATTCTCTTTCCATCCCAATTTGAGTTTCTTTAAGAAAACACAAGCCCACGCCCCTGCAGGTCTTACCTATTTTTAGCCTACTTTTTATCCTTGCTTTCTTTCTTCTTCTTCCTCCATTTTGTGTTTCTTACTCAAACTGAGAAAAAAAGGGAGTTTTATCTAGGGTTAGGGTTTAGAAAATAGAACAAGTATCGATGAAAAGATGGTCGATTTATTTATTTTTGTTTAACCGGTAACCCCAAGGGAGCTATGGGTTTTCAATAAAACGGGAGATAATCGCTGACTTTGGCCGTCGATTTTCGCTACAGTTGGTTGTTCCTTTTGTTGTTTACGTATGGCTGCTGCGAATCCTCAGCCACTGCAGGCGCGTCCGTTTGAGAACCACGCGCGGGGGACGATACAGATCGAGGAAGATGATGGGTACTACGAAGATAACGCTATGGATGACGTGATAGAAGCGAATGGAAACTCGGTGAATGTGGCTGAGCACGGAGCAGAAGTAATAGGCGGTGTAAATGGTGGCGGGGGCGCAGTTATGGCGTCCAGAACTAGCGAGCTTACTCTCTCTTTTGAAGGAGAAGTTTACGTGTTCCCTGCTGTTACACCCGAAAAGGTTTTTAGCCTTTTTCCCTCCTCTTTTAAATTTCTATTTATTGCTATATTATTTTTGTTTAATTTTAGCAATGAAATAATCATCTATCTTGTTGTTTCTAATTGTTTTTGCAAAGCAAATTGAAATATTTTTGTCAGATTTTTAATTTCTTATTTTGAAGTAATATTTTAGCTGGAACTGCAATGATGTGCCTTGTTTTATATAAATTCTTAAATATGATGTTTAATATGCGGAGGCGGAATTCATTTCTTAGAATAAGGTTGATGGGTTAATTTATTGATTGGCCAAAGTACTAATTTCATTGAATAGTTGGCCGTATGAATTTTGGAAGTAAATCAGCTGTATATTTGCTGATACCCAGTTATGATAACTTTTGTGAATTTGCTATCCTGATATAGCTAGAAGTTATATTTTTATAATTAGTGGGAATTTTAGGAAAGATGATGCATTCAAGTTAAAGTGTCCAAATCCAATTTGCTAGTTATGCTTTTTATTGTCCAATATGTGCACTAGATTTATTTTTGCCTCATTTTCATTTTGAGAAAGTAGTTGTTTTAATTGTATATGTGCTCCTTCTTCATCAGTCGAGTAATAAGTAATTTATTCCACAATTCTATTCTTTAAATGTGTTTCCTTTTATTGTAAATTAGTATACATGTTTATTTGATTGTATGAGACAGGTGCAAGCTGTTCTATTACTTCTAGGTGGTCGTGATATCCCCACTGGTGTTCCTACAATTGAAGTACCTTTTGATCAAAATAACAGGGTATTGCTGCTTTTGGAGTATTCATGAGTCAATGAGTAATTACATCTCAGTATTCATGTTTTTCATTTTGTTCCATGTACCACATTGGATAGGGTGTTTGTGATGGTCCAAAGCTCTCCAATCTTTCTAGACGAATAGCATCCTTGGTTAGGTTCCGTGAGAAAAGGAAAGAGAGATGTTTTGACAAGAAAATTAGGTATACAGTACGGAAAGAAGTTGCTCAGAGGTATGCCTATTTGTCCTTAATTTGTATAGATTTTCAGTTTAACATTTTGAACTTATGAAGTTGTTCTGTGATGTGGAAGTTAAAAGAGGAAATGACAACTATCCAGAAACTTTGGTGGTAGTGGATGTGCTATAGACATTTATTATAGGTTACTACCCTGAGAAATGCTCAGTAGAGGGAGCATTTGGTTATTTTAACTCCCATGTCTTCTTGTTTGTCTCTTGTCGAAGAGAGGCAGGCATAAAAGTAGTTGGGGACTTTGATGTCTGCTGTTTATATTGGTTATTTAATTTGACAATGTAATGGTCTGATTATATTCTTATTAGATCAATAAAATAGTAAGTATTAAATGTTCTCTACTTTTTTATTACGTATAAGAGTTGTAATGAATCAGCTAATAGTGGAGTTATAATCTTCTTCTCCTGTCGTTCTTGTAGGATGCATCGTAAAAATGGGCAGTTTGCGTCTTTAAAGGAAAGTACCAGTACTTCAAGCTGGAATTCCTCGCAAACTGACCTTCATGATGGTACTCGTTGTCTAGAAACTGTGTGAGTTCCAAACTTGCATGTTGCCAGGTTATTTGGATATATGTTTCATGTTGAACCTTTTTAAGAATAATGTCTTCAATGTGTTTTAGTGTCCGGAGATGTCAACATTGTGGTGTTAGTGAAAATAATACTCCAGCAATGCGTCGTGGTCCTGCTGGTCCAAGGACTTTATGTAATGCGTGTGGGCTTATGTGGGCTAATAAGGTCTGCTTGTTCCGATAGTTTTTTTTTATTAAGCATCATCTTGTGTAGTTATACTTCAGCATAGTCTTTGGAATGTTGGTGATGATAATCTTCAAATATCCTTGTTGTGAATTGTGATTAGTGGTTTTCTGCAACTTTTTGTTGAATGTACAGGGAACACTTAGAGATCTTAGTAAAGGAGGAAGGAGTCTTTCCATGGACCAACTGAGCCTGAGTTTGCGTCTTTAAAGGAAAGTACCAGTACTTCAAGCTGGAATTCTTCGCAAACTGACCTTCATGATGGTACTCGTTGTCTAGAAACTGTGTGAGTTCCAAACTTGCATGTTGCCAGGTTATTTGGATATATGTTTCATGTTGAACCTTTTTAAGAATAATGTCTTCAATGTGTTTTAGTGTCCGGAGATGTCAACATTGTGGTGTTAGTGAAAATAATACTCCAGCAATGCGTCGTGGTCCTGCTGGTCCAAGGACTTTATGTAATGCGTGTGGGCTTATGTGGGCTAATAAGGTCTGCTTGTTCCGATAGTTTTTTTTTATTAAGCATCATCTTGTGTAGTTATACTTCAGCATAGTCTTTGGAATGTTGGTGATGATAATCTTCAAATATCCTTGTTGTGAATTGTGATTAGTGGTTTTCTGCAACTTTTTGTTGAATGTACAGGGAACACTTAGAGATCTTAGTAAAGGAGGAAGGAGTCTTTCCATGGACCAAACTGAGCCTGTAAGTATCATGGGAATATTTTCAACTTTACAAATATTCTTCAATCTTTTCCTTACACATGCCGCTTTTGTCTAAGATTGTTGAATGGATTGCATTGTAGGGTATACATGAAACAACAATTGATGTCAAGCCTTCAATTATGGAAGGGAACTTCCCTGATAACCAGGATGAACGTGTATGGACACTCTTCTCCTTTGTGATCAAGATTTTTCAGGTGGCCGCTTGTAGCTTCATTCTAACATGTATGGAATTTCTTGCAGGGGAATCCTTCAAAAGATGTCATAGATGGATCCAATAATGCTTCTGTCAACCCAAATGAAGAAGTATGTTTTCTGATCCTAACTTGAATTCACATCTTATTTTCAAAAGAAAATTTTACACCACCTTTAGAAAGTTCATTTATATCTCATTTATTATCTATTCATGCTGCCTACTTTACCATGGCCCATGGATATTGACTAAAAGGCCAAATTCGTTTCTGTTGTACCTTTCCTGGATTGGCGATATCTGTTGGATTCTTTCTTGTATTTGTCTGGTTTGTCTCTGTTGAGTTGAACTTTATGGGGACATTCTCAAATCATAGATTTTGTGTTTTGGGTGGATATTTATTCAAAGAGTGAAGTAACTGACCCAGATTCAGCAGAGCAATTTTCAGAACTGAAATAAATTATTGAACCAGTCTAATAGTTAATCTATTCCCTTTCTTTTTAACTTGCATTTCCATATGGTGCAGGATTTGCATGAAAGTGCAGAAGATCTTAAAAACTCTTTGCCTGTGGGAATTGTTCATCCCCCTGCAGATGATGAGCAGGTAAAACATTTTGGCTCAATAGAGGCCTATAACATTAGTATCCACTGTCCCAACATCTCTTTCCTTTCAGATATACATTTACATGCATTCCAGACTGATAAAATAATACCTCATAATTTAGGTGTACAACATGCAGGAACCTTCGGTTGAGCTTGCTAATACCTCGGATACAGAAATCGAGATTCCTTCTAGCTTTGATTAGAAGGTTTGTAATTTGGATTTGATCCAACTATTTGAAGAGAAGAGAGTATTAGACACACATGTGTCCGGGTAGTTTCTCGTGTATTTGTGCTCGGTACAGTTGAAGAAAGTTTATGGTGTTTATACGGAGGCAAACGTAGCAGATTGTGTGGGCTGCAATGATTAGGAAACCAGCTTGACATTGAATCCTGTAGTACAGTAATCAGCTTGTGAATGGGGAAAATACATGGTGCTGCTTGCTTTCAGCTTACATTTTAGATGCTTTGGATTTAGGGTCACCTTGTTATATAATCTGTGTACATTTAATATGTTGTATAAATGGTTGAATGCTTGTACTCGTTTATGTAATTCTTTTAGGACTTTTAAAGATTATACAGATGCTTTTAAAATTGATGTGTTATCTATCTTTCACTGGTTATTTTTGGCAGTACAATGATGGGATTTGGAGATTTTGATTAAAGCCCAATAAGAAAACATGTTATTAGGAAGAGAAATATATACACACATGGAGTGCATTAGTAGACAATTAAATTTTCACAGGTAATGGCTTGTATTTTATCTGCTTAGATTTTTATACATATTCATTTTTCTAATCTTGTGAAATTTTTATTTTCAACAACAGTGGATTTAAGTGATAAGTAGTAAAATGCTACATCATTTTTATTCTAATTTAGTCGTATACCTACATTTATATTGACATTGCGTGAATATAATTATGCGTACCCAATATGTACACTTAAAAACGATATTATCTTGATAATGATTTGAAGATATATGATAAATTAAAATCTTCATGCTAGATATTGATGAATTAATTTCATATCTAGTTTAAATCTTTCTAAAATCACTTCAAAGACATCACCTTATTGATGACATAAAACCAAAGAAAATAAGTCATGTTTGTGTTAAAGAGATGTTTTGAACCTTAAATCCCTTTCATAAAGGTTCAGGGCTCAACCACTAAATTAGATTGACATTTTTTTTAAATATAATTTTATCAAATTTGATATTTAATTTAAATTGATTCAAGGTCTCAAAATATGATGTTGATCGAAAAGGTTCAAACCTGTAACATAGAAGTTGAATTGGGGTGAAAATTTATTAAATGTTTAATTAAAATTATATTTAAGTTGGACTATGTTTGTACGAACTAACTTATATCAAAGGTTAAAAGGAATTGTGTTTTTTCTAGAGATCACGGATTCGAGCACCAACAAATACAGCAAGTTGATTGATCATTCGTTGTTAAATGGTTGAAAATATTTGGAAAATATACTACTTAAAAACAAAATTAAGCTATAATATTTTTGAAGTAGGTTAAACTATGTCATAACCTTGAAATTATGTCACCAAGTTCAATTTTCTCTAGTAACAATTTAACATAATTTCCTTTAGTTTTATTAGTTTTATATGATTAATAAGGTGGCGTATGTGTTATTATCATGCAAAAGGATGAATATTTTAATTCTCTGAAGGAATTTCAAAATAAAAACAAAGTGATAAATAATGTTTCAATTTAATTTATATATGTGCACAACTTTTAAGTCGAAAGAAATTGGGCCAAAAAGCAGTAACCGGTTTAAACCCAGAGAGAATCCAATCGGTAACCAACTCTAAACCAGAATGTTCCAGAAGAAAGGTGGGATCCATCGGATATCAAGACAGGTGGGTGGCCCTAGGAAAATCGCAACTTCTTGACCAAGCAACAATACCCCTATATATAGCCTTACCTTACACGCTCTATTAAGCCTGCTGTAACTGTTTTCCATTGTAGATAGTTCACGCCTTTGACAAATTAACCTACGCTCTCCAAAAGATGCCTTGCGGAAGATCTGGATTCTGGAGGTGAGTATTTGCTCCTTGGATGAGATGCAAAAGGATGAATATTTTAATTCTCTGAAGGAATTTCAAAATAAAAACAAAGTGATAAATAATGTTTCAATTTAATTTATATATGTGCACAACTTTTAAGTCGAAAGAAATTGGGCCAAAAAGCAGTAACCGGTTTAAACCCAGAGAGAATCCAATCGGTAACCAACTCTAAACCAGAATGTTCCAGAAGAAGGGGGATCCATCGGATCAGACAGGTGGGTGGCCCTAGGAAATCGCAACTTCTGACCAAGCAACAATACCCCTATATATAGCCTTACCTTACACGCTCTATTAAGCCTGCTGTAACTGTTTTCCATTGTAGATAGTTCACGCCTTTGACAAATTAACCTACGCTCTCCAAAAGATGCCTTGCGGAAGATCTGGATTCTGGAGGTGAGTATTTTGCTCCTTTGTATATTATAAGGGCATCTCCAATGCATTTCAAAGTGAGAAAATTTTTAATTTAAAGATAAATGTCAACTCTAATCTATATCTAGACTAAAGTTTGAAATGTGGAGATGTTACAACAATACTCTATAGTATTGTAACTCATCTATAGAGTACGGTCTATTTTTGTTTTTTTTTTTTTTATTAATTTATGTAATGAATATTTTAATTTAAAGAATTAAAATATATAATTATATAAATTATGTTTTTTTTTTCATTAGGTAAAATCCAAGTTTTGACTGATCTATTCTCTATTGATTTTATATAATCAAATAATGATGCTGAAATGTTGATTTTCGAGGAAGGTATCATCACGTCCTGCTGCTCGTGCGCCAGCGAGCAATGCTCCTTCAAGGCCTGGTATTTTTCTTTATTGATTTGTATGAGTAATAGAATTTGTTGGTTTTAACGTTTTGGCCTAGAAGTAAATTAAATTTTCTGTTCCGGGATCCGAATTTCTAGTGGTTGACCATAATGTTGAGGAGTTGGAAGTCGACTTCTTTTGCAAATCTTATTTCCCGCATAGAATCAAGGGAATCCAGCAGGAAGAGGAATGGAGCCCCTGCATATCATTGAGCATTGTGTATTCCATTTGTACTTTTTCGTCGATCCGTAGCCCATCGCTAGAGTAGAGCCTATAGTTTTCGTCGATCCGTACGTTTGTTTTCTTAGTTTTCATTAGGTAAAATCCAAGTTTTGACTGATCTGTTCTCTATTAATTTTGACTTCTTTTGCAAATCTTATTTCCCGCTTAGAATCAAGGGAATCCAGTAGAAAGAGGAATGGAGCCCCTGCATATCATTGAGCATTGTGTATTTTCCATTTGTACTTTTTTGTCATCTGTAGCCCATCTCTAGAGTAGAGCCTGTAGTTTTCGTCGATCCGTACGCTTTTTTTTTTTCTTAGTTTTCATTAGGTAAAATCCAAGTTTTGACTGATCTATTCTCCATTGATTTTATATAATCAAATAATGATGCTGAAATGTTGATTTTAGAGGAAGGTCATTCTCACGTCCTGCTGCTCGTGCGCCAGCGAGCAATGCTCCTTCAAGGCCTGGTATTTTTCTTTATTGATTTGTTTGAGTAATAGTATTTGTTGGTTTTAACGTTTTGGCCTAGAAGTAAATTAAATTTTCTGTTCTGGGATCCGAATTTCTAGTGGTTGACCATAATGTTGAGGAGTTGGAAGTCGACTTCTTTTGCAAATCTTATTTCCCGCATAGAATCAAGGGAATCCAGTAGGAAGAGGAATGGAGCCCCTGCATATCATTGAGCATTGTGTATTCCATTTGTACTTTTTCTCCTGTAGGATTTGCTAAATTGGCATTTGTTTGAAACATAGTCTTGGAAGTTATATTTTGTGTATTTTAATAAATTGTTTACGTTGTCTGGAGATGTACATTGAGCATAGTTGGGTTTTGCTTGTTGCAGCTAGTTCTGCCCCTCCCCCAGCACCTGTGCAGAAGGGAAATGGATTTGGTGCTGCAATTGTAGATGGTCAGTCAAAAGATTTGCTTGGAATTATAATTTCTTATAGCTATTGTGTTGACATCCAATGTGCTGTACTTTTAACTTTTTCTGTTTTTATGCGCAGGTATTGGATGGGGTGTTGGGACTGCTATGGCTCACAGAGCAGTTGATGCCATTGTTGGCCCTTGTGTCATCAAACACGAGACTGTTGCTTCATCAGAACCAGCTGCTGCTGCAGCTCCCACACCGAAACCAAACACGAACAATCTTATGAACTCGGATGCTTGGGTGATCAATCCAAAGCTCTAAGTGATGTATGTATATATATATATTTCTACCTTTGTTTTCATCTGTTAATCCGCTGTATCAAATGATTCTATCGAAGTTCTTTTGGGTGGAATTGTCATTACTTACCATGCATTTGAGACAAATGCTTGTTGGTTCGGTTGCAGCGTTTGACCACCTATGGAAGCGACATTAGCAAATGCCAATTCTACATGGATATGCTGAAAGAATGTCGCAGGAGCTCTGGTGCTGCGTTGGATGATTGATGATGTCAAAGAACGAATATCTCCAATCAATTTAGATGTTATTAGGCGTGTCTTTTTAGTTCGTCTATATTGTTATATTGTCCCAACCAGTGTTTTAAAAGGAGGCGTCCTAAGGCGATCAATTACTCGAGAGCCTTAATTTTTGAGGCGTTTTGAGACGAGGGATTTACGTACGCGAGACGTTTAATTTTACAAAACATTTGTAAATATTTTATAACCATACCTCAAACACAAAACAATTTAATAATTAACTTAATAAGCAAAAACACCAAGTAGCATATGTCATATTGTATCTCAAAAAGATAAATAAAAAATATCATCAATAATCAAAATGTATAAAACTCATCATCATCGTCATCAACATCAATCTCAAGCACTTCTTCGTCATTATCTTCGAAAAGTCCAATATCTTGTTCTATCTCTTCATCATCGTCTTCATCAATCAAATTTAGTCCAGTAGAGGGCCTTCTATGAGTGGAGGTTTGGGCAAGACCCTTTCCTCTATCTCTTGAGTTTGAACTTCAAATTGATTAAAAGAATTATTATTATGAATTTAAAATTTTAAAAAATAAAGTTCATGTAAATTAAATAAATCACCTTGAATTTGAGTTTGAGTATCTAAGCAAACGTAAAGTTTAAATGCTAAAAATGCATATTTTCCTTGAGAAAAAAAAACTCAAAACTAAGGTTGATGACATGGCAGGAAGCGATAGGTTGTAAAGAGAGGAGATAGGATATATCATTCACCTCACAAGAAATATAAAAGGATAAGCATATCCATACTTCAGAAGTGAAAATGAATAGCAGTATTCTCCAATCCCTTGCTTCAAAATCACCCCTACCAACCAACCTTCTTCTTCTGAAACCCTCGTCTTCGCCAACATGTAATTACCTATCTTTTCCTCGCCGTCGTCGACGGTTGCCCAAAGTTTATAACAGCACCGTCGATAATAACAGTGAGGCCGCAAAACCACCAGTTCCACCGCCAGTAAGACCGCCGTCAGATACTCTTCAAATTCGGTTCAAAAGAGGGTCAAGAAGGCGTCGGCAGCTCTGGGAAGAAGGTGCCCGGGGAGAAGGGCAAAGGATGAATTCAAAGGCTGCAGCTGAAGCAGCTCCGAAGAAATGGGAGGAAATGAGCATGACGGAGAAGGCTTTAGAGTTGTACGTTGGAGAGAATGGTTTGTTGTTCTGGCTCAACAAGTTTGCGTATGCTTCGATTTTCATCGTAATCGGGGCTTGGATAGTTTTCCGGTTTGTTGGACATGCTCTCAATCTTTACCAACTTGATTCTCCTCTTGCTCCCACCTCCATGTTCAACGGTTCTTGATCCATACCACACTGATATCCATATGTCTGAAATGGGTCATTGTACATGAATCGCTAAAAGCATCGCCTCATCGCCTCTCGTCGCCTCCGACGACTGAATCGCCGCCTCATGTATTCGTCGTCGCCTTGATGGTCGGAAGCTTTCTTCTGAACGCCTCGCCTAGCGCCTCAGGCGCGCTTTTTAAAACACTGGTCCCAACTATTGGTGGGAGAGTGATGCTATCTAGCTCTAAGAATGTGTCACGGAGAATAATCGAACCGTGCTAGACTTAGTTTCCAACCAGAACTTTATGCATTTTTATTGTGAACTTTTCCTCGATATGCCTTCCGATTTCATTGAATAATTTAAAATGATTACAAAGTAATATTTGTTTAGAATATTTGTTAATTATTGATAAACGTTGCAGAGTTCTTAAAACTTTCAGAATGATAACATTTCCTTTTATAATTGAGATGTTTGATAAGTTTATATTTTTTGTTTTCTTGTTTTTTGCGATTATAGTTATGGTCATATGTTTAGCATAAACGTCGTCTATCATGCATCAAACATATCTTACAAGAGTTTTAGCATAACTTTAATATGTAAAGTATATCTTACAGGCACTTTTACATTATCAATCATAGCAAAGTTGCAATATCGAATATATAGTAATCATGTTATGTAGGTATATTAACACAGAGAATATACATTGAATATATTTTGTAAGTAATTCAACGTATCGAACATATAACAATCACGTAATACAAAGATTTAAATATTAAAGTGTTACTTTTTCAAAATTTTGAATTTTTAACGAGATAATTATTAAATATAAAATATTAATAAAATCCAAATTTGTTAAATTGGAGGTTTTATTTAATCATTTTATAAGTTTATAGACAATAAACATAATTACTTTAATATAGAAGGGATCAATAAAAATAGGATTTTTTATATATATTTACATCATTTATAAATTTATCTCTTTGTGATTTTTCTCTCTCAACTATTAATAGGCATAAATAATTCTTTTTTATCTACAATTAGTAGATTGAATATAATAAAGGACTGGAAAGTCGATTTTAAAAACCAAGATTTAAAATTAAGATTCTTTTAAAGTTGTTGATGGACCTTAATATTCGTTAGCATTAACGACTTCACCATCAGAAGAATATTAATAGATAATGGAAGGGCGGTAAAAGTATTACAAAGAATTAGCTTTATAGAGAATGAAAGGTTAGAAGAACAGTTGGAATGTTGTGGGCTATTGATGAATTCTCAAACCATACCATCACAGTTGCGCAAAGTGAATATGTGGGTGATGGAATCATTGCTTGATAAGATATGGGATGAAAAATGGATTGAGTTTCCAATATTTTAGGTATTAGGTTCTTCAATCGGTGACAAAGGATGTGTGACGGCACACTGAAAACAGGATAATGGTCCATGGTGGCAAGGGGTTGATGGTGAGCAATTTAGAGGCCTTGGCAGTCAGATTTACGGTTCATGAGATGAATGGATGGAGGTGAACTCGCTGTCAGTAAAGCATAATAATAGGTAGGGGACTAGCTTTGACATTACCCGTTTAGACGAGATGGTGCCGGGTTTTTTTCGATCTGGTTAGGGTCAATGAGATAGAGACGAAACCAGGGAGTATTTGGTGTGCGGTTCAACCTCTAAAAATTCCATATTTTAAATTTTATTTTATATTAATTATCTACTTTCATATTCTTTAAGTTTTTATAATTTTATATTCTTAATTTCTTAATTTAACTTTTTAATTTCGTATCTATATAAATTTATATATTCGTCCCAAAATGAGATAAGACTGAGTTACTTTAGTTTAGTTCAACGTGAAAGGTAATGAGTTGAATATGACGGTGTTGGTGAGTAGCAAAGATAGTCGAAGTGAGCTAAATAGAGCATTGTTTGGGGGAGTCAGAAAGGTGAGGACGGCCTCTAATCAACAGGCCTACGAGACAAACATTATTAATATTTTAATTTTTTTATTTTAATTTATAATATCAAAAATATTCTTTAACGTTTATCAAAATTGTTATTTTGACTTCTATATGTTTTTTTATACTTTAGCCCTTAACATTTCACTTTGGGACAAAAGGCTCCCTCCATAAATGAAAATCATTAGTTAAGACATTATTAATGCTCCAAAATAGGAGTCTTTTAACCAAAAATGAAACATTGAGAGTTAAAGTACCCTAGAAAAAAAAAGAATAAAGGAAAAATGATTATTCTGTCAAATGATAGGGGTTTTTTGTCCTAAAATAAAATGAGTGGGGGCTAAAATGCTCCAAAAAATAGGACAGAGGATAAAATGAACATTTTGATAAACATTGAGGGTTAATTTTGATATTATGCTTATTTAAAAATATTTCCTTCATATTTTATCAAAGCTTATGATTAATGATGAATATTATGAAATACATATATAAAGTAATAGTATGCAAAATGTGAATATAATAAAATACAAAAAAAGTGAATTGTTTATTCAATTCAACATAGTTTAATTAAGAAAAAATTAATTTTTCTATAACTAAATTTTTTAAGTTTAAATTAAATGTAATATATTATAGTTTAGATTTAAAAAGATATACAAAATCAAGGGCTTAACTTACTTATTATAATATATATTTTATATAATTTAAACTTTGTTATGTATATTTTTTGTCATGATTAATGCTGAATTTAAATGAATTTGATACTAAACAGAGTTAATATATTTTAAATACATTTTTTTATTTTTAATATTAACATTTAAAATAAAATAGTTAATAACATTTATTGGGTGGCTTCTTTTTCCACTTGTGTATATAATTTCTTGTTATGACACCATAATTTAAGGATCTATGTGCAAGAATTGGATATGAATGAAAAGTATAAAATAATTATATTTTTAATTTAGTTTAAATAGAGTTAAATTATTAGGATCTACTTTGATAAAACATTTTTAGTTCATTCATTTTATTTTTTTCGTTTGAAAATATGTATACCATTTTGATCCGTAACACTTCACAAATAAATGTAATAATAAAATAATTTTGGTCTCCTTATCCACTTAACATTGTAAACACTACAAGAAATTTCTACTATTGTCTATTAGTAGCATTTTGGTGACAAAATAAATAATCGTAGCATTAGATTAAAAAAAAGATATACAATTATGATAAAAGTTAAAATTGTCATAATAAACAAACCTGTATAACATATGGTGACAAAATAAATTTATTACTAATTTTTGTCACAAATATTTCCCTCCAATTTTTTGGCGCCAAATTGAAGGCATATAGTGACAACTTTTGTAACTAGAAGTTTTAGTAACTATGACAAAAAAGTTGTCACAACAAATAATGAGATTTAGATTTGTTGTGACAAATTTTGTTTGTAATTATATGTTTTAATTATAGTAACAAAATGTATAGTCACAAATGATTATCTCCAATTTTTGGTAAAAACAAAATCATATAGTGACATATTTTGTAACTATAAACTATAATTATTGTTACAAAAAAATTTGTCACAACAAATATTGAGATTCAAGTTTTTAGTAAAAACAATGTTTTTCGTTATATGTTTTAATTATAATGACAAAATATATTGTCACAAAGATTTTCCCCCATATTTTTTGCGCCAAAAAAATTATATAATGACAAATTTTGTAACTATAAGTGTTAATAATTATTACAAAAAAACATTAACACAAAAAATAATGATATTCGCGTTTTTGTGACAAATTATATTTGTAGTTATAAATTTTAACTATAGTGATAACATATATTCATTGTCATAACTATTTTTCTCCATTTTTTTATTTCAAAAGTTATATTAACAATTTTTATAATTATAATTTATAGTTATTGTTATAGAAAAAATCATCACATCAAATAATAAAATTCAAGTTTTTTGTAATAAATTATTTTTGTACTTATATATTTTAATCTTTATGAAAAATTATACTATTAAAACCATTTCTCCATATTTTTTAATGTCAAAATTGTTATATAGTAATAAAATATATTGTCATACAGATTTTCCTCCATATTTTTTTTTGCATTAGAAAAATCATATAGTAATTTTTTTTGTAACTATAAGTGTTTATAATTATTACAAAAAACATTGTCACAAAAAATAATAGTATTCACATTTTTATGAGAAATTATACTTGTAGTTATAAATTTTAATTATAGTGATAACATATATTGTAATAAATATTTTTCTCCACATTTTTTGTTTCAAAAAGCTATATTAATAAGTTTTGTAATTATAATTTATAGTTATTGTTATAGAAAAAATTATCACATCAGATAATAAAATTCAAGTTTTTTGTAATCAATTATTTTTTATTTATATATTTTAATCCTTATGAAAAATTATACTATAAAAAATTTATCCCTATTTTTTGGTGCCAAAAATGTTATCCTTATTTTTTGGTGCCAAAAATGTTATATAGTAAAAATTTTATAGTTATTGTTATAGAAACATTATAACAATAAAAAAATTATTTTTTAATTAATAAATGATTTTAGTTTTTTATGAAAAAAATATGTTTGTAGTTATACATTTTGATTATAATGAGAAAATATAATAATTTATTATAAAAATAAAATGTTCATAAAAGTCAAATTTTTGTGACATATATAATTCAATGGCATTTTCAAATAAAATATAATAACAAAATATATTACCAAAATGTTTTCATTTATTTTTTACGAAGCTAGTTTAAAATAAAAGATAATTAAAAAATATATTATCAAAATAGTTAAAATGAAAATTAAATTTCTAAAAAATTGAACAAAATATATTAACCAAAGTAGGAGAAATTTCCTATTATTTTTTTACATTAAGTTTAGGTGAAGTTTACTTCCGTCAATCATGTTATATTCACTACAAAGTTCTTCTTAGTTGTATAACTACTTTTTACAATTTTTTAAACAGTTTCATAATGGTTAACGATAGAATCATTGATTAAAGGGTCTATTGAATGCAACAATAATTCGATGGCTAAATTGATATTTTCAATGTTTTCATTTATTTTTTACGAAGCTAGTTTAAAATAAAAGATAATAAAAAAATATATTATCAAAATAGTTAAAATGAAAATTAAATTTCTAAAAAATTGAACAAAATATATTAACCAAAGTAGGAGAAATTTCCTATTATTTTTTTACATTAAGTTTAGGTGAAGTTTACTTCCGTCAATCATGTTATATTCACTACAAAGTTCTTCTTAGTTGTATAACTACTTTTTACAATTTTTTATTAAACAGTTTCATAATGGTTAACGATAGAAATCATTGATTAAAGGGTCATATTGAATG